TAAGCTCAGGCACGACGTCATGGCTCACGTCCACACCTTCGCACACTGCTGCCCCACTGCTGCTCCCATCATCCATCTTGGAGCCACCTCCTGCTACGTCGGGGACAATACTGTAATTAAGATTAATATTATATGGAGTTATTAATTTGATCACATGACTTATAAGAGACTGAGGATGTATTTTGTCTCCAACTTGTCCTGATAAATCTCACCAAGACTTGCAGTTCCCTCTCAAAAGATTCTCCAATGCCAAGTTTTCTTGTTCTCTTAAGGTGTTTTGTTTTTCTTCCTCAGGACCTGATTATGCTGCGTGATGGATTTGATATTCTGTTGCCTAAGGTGATGCTCAGCTTTTTGTTAGAAAGCATGCACACACATCCGGTTGTGTATCTGTGAAATCAGTAGAAACAGGGCAGAGAAGCAGCTTTGTTGTAAGCCTCAGCTGTTCAGTAACAAGTCAACTATGTAGAAATAATCAATGTGCAGTGTGTTGTCACAAACCACACACACACACGAGTGTGTGCAACAGTGTATTATGCAATAACCCAGTGTTTTTGTTTGCACAGCTGGCCCGAGTCATTGACAGACTGGCAAACTTTGCAGAGAAGTATGCCGACCTCCCCACGCTTGGCTTCACACACTACCAGTGAGTCTGAGTGCAGCTGCTCTCCCGTCACAGTTGTCCTGTTCCTGAGTGTTTTCATCTGTCTGACCAGTTTGCTTTAATCATTGTCTTCTGATGAACATCCAGTGTTTTCCCTCTGCTCTGCCTGCAGACCTGCCCAGCTGACCACGGTTGGGAAGCGAGCATGTCTGTGGCTGCAGGACTTAGTCATGGACATGCGCAACCTGCAGCGAGCCCGTGATGACCTGCGTTTCCGAGGGGCCAAGGGGACCACTGGCACCCAGGCCAGCTTCCTGCAGCTTTTTCAGGGGGACCATGACAAGGTGCACATAAATCATTCTCAGTCTAAGAGTAAAGTTATAAAGTCTGTACTCTGATCAAGATAATTGTACCACTGTCTCCACCAGGTGGAGGAGCTTGACAGGATGGTCACAGAGATGGCTGGCTTCAAAAAGTAAGTTGTACACTGAAGGTCTTGCAGTCTTCACTAATCATATCGCAAGCTGATGCAGGTTAATGGCCTCGTTATTAGCGCTCATGGTGTCGCACCATCTTCCCCAGAGCCTACCTGGTGACTGGTCAGACATACAGTCGTAAGGTGGACATAGACTGTCTGTCCAGCCTGGCCAGTTTGGGAGCTACTGTTCACAAGGTAAGCTGCAGAGCCTGAGACACACAGAGAAATGTCCCCTGGGGGTGCTGGGTGGAAGTGATAAACCTGCTCCATCTATCCGACTTTATTTATATTAACATCTTTGATCCATCTCCCTGCTGTAGATCTGTACAGACATCCGCCTGCTTGCCAACCTGAAGGAGATTGAGGAGCCTTTTGAGAAAGAGCAGATTGGTACGTTCGCTCCCTGTACATCACTTTGTGAAACTCACAGTGAAACCTGCATGAGCTTGTCTTGCTCCTCCAGGTTCCAGCGCCATGCCCTACAAGAGGAACCCCATGCGTGCAGAGCGCTGCTGTAGCTTGGCCCGACATCTGGTGGCGCTGATGGCTGACCCGCTGCAGACGGCCTCGGTACAGTGGCTGGAGAGGACGCTGGACGACAGCGCCAACAGGTGCGTGATGGATTTGAGTAGTACACTACACACAGGCCTTTTCCTCCTGGTTTTTCTATGCATATATACTCACTCCCCCCCTCACTGACATGCAGGAGGATCTCCCTGCCTGAGTCCTTCCTGACAGCAGACATCATCCTCAGCACGCTGCAGAACATCACAGAGGGACTGGTGGTCTACCCCAAAGTCATCGAGAGACACATCCGCCTTGAGCTTCCCTTCATGGCCACAGAGAACATCATCATGGCGATGGTGAAGGCAGGAGAAAACAGACAGGTAGGAGCAGGGAGTCCGGTGTGGGCCATACTGCTCAGTGAGCAATCCAGTGTTGGCATAATAACATCCGGCAGTAATTCATTTATCCTGCTGTTAAAAGAGTGATAATTTACCTAACAGAAAAAGCAAGAAATAACTGTTGTAGGTTATGTTCAGGAGGAATCTTGAACCGTTCTTCCTCACAGAACCTCTTCAGCTGCTTCCTCTGCATCACTGTGGGTGTATGGTACACTCAGGAGCAGAGACGGTAACCAGCTCTAATGCTTCCTTTAAGCCTTGACTTGTTACTCTGGACTTCTTTTCTACTTCACTGAGTGTTCTGCATTGTGCCTTTGGAGTCAGCTGGGTGCACGCGTCTGGAGGGAGTAGCCACAGAACTAAGCTGTCTCCATTTATAGGTAGATCTTTGGGTAAATCCCATTTCCCTTAAAGGTGCAGTGTGTAAGGTCTAGGTGGATTTGTTAGCAGAAATTGGCTATAGCATGCATAATTACTGTGTAGTCACCAGAAAATAAGAGTCATTGCATTTCTTTTTAATCTTGGAATGAGCCTTTTATATCTACATAAGAGCGGGTCCCCATCACAGAGGCCGCCATGTTGAGCTACCATGTTTTTACAGTAGCCCAGAACGGACAAACCACACACTGGCTCTAGTGCACAACGTTTGTGTCTTCACGTTGGAGTCGCATACCAAAGGTGGTGTGTTTTTTGGTGGACCGGGGCCATGCTGTCATGATGCTATCCTCAGTGTCTCTAGAGTAGCCATGAACCAGGCATCAAATCACAGATCAACTCTCTGCACGGTCTCCATCTTCCTCTTGGATCTCTCTTTCAGGACTGCCATGAGAAGATCCGAGTTCTGTCCCAGGAGGCAGCAGCTGTGGTCAAGCAGGAGGGCGGGGATAACGACCTTATGGCCAGAGTCCAGCGAGACCCATACTTCGCCCCCGTTCTGGAGCAGCTGGATGCCCTGCTGGACCCCAAGACCTTCACTGGCCGCGCTCCCCAGCAGGTACAAGAAGGATGTTGGTGTTTTTCTAGAAAGCTGCAGAACTGGTTTGTAATATGTCCTATTTAGTCCTTTCTTTCCTTCTGCTGTGCCCTCCACTCCCCCCAGGTGGCCAGGTTCCTGTCTGAAGAAGTGCGCCCCCTGCTCGAGCCATACAAGGCCAAGATGGATGTCAAGATAGAGCTTGAGCTTTGACTCACACACACACACACACACACACACACACAGACTTCATCATGGTGTGTGGCCATGGTGCACGCTGCATTGTATCTCAATAAATTGTTGAAATAATTTATCATTATCAGAGCGTCTTTATTTGTGCCTGCTGTATTTTAATAAAGTAAATGTAATGAATCATAACAAAGAAAAGATGATTAATGTGGTAATAAACTGTTGCTAATGTTTCTGTTACTGTCACTGATAGGAACCAAAGGTCATAAGCATCACATGGCTTTTTATATCATTCCTCTTCATAAATAATGCTAATAAATACTGAAGTAAATTATTAATCCACCACTTTTCTGCTTTGCGGTTCAACCTGCAATCATTCACAGACACTGAGGCCAGAACGGTGGCTGAGACTGTTTCACTTTTGATTGATTTTAATTTATTTATTTATTTATTGTTGTTGAAATTCAGTCTCTGGTTTACAGTGTTTTGTCTTAAAAGTTTGGTCTCAGTTCACAGAAAGGAAAAGAAACTTGCTGACAACCAGGAGGAACTCGTAAATAACCGTTGGCTTAAAGTTAAGCCCACCCCCTTTTATATAGACTCGACTTTTCTGCCTGTTGTGTATTTTCTTCTGTCAGTAACCGTACATCTGAGATACCACCTACTGCTGATGATATTTCCAGTGTATTCATAGTGCTGACAGTGTCAGGAGACAGCGCAGTAGTGTCCGAGCTCACACCATCTGCTGGAGTCATAGACGGCAACAGTGAAGGTGGAATTAGCTACTTTGAACGAAGCTGTAATAGTATCTGTGTGTACAACCAGCCGGTCCTCAGCACCAAGTGAGTCGAAACAGTATCTTTGAACTCAACGTAGTATCTCAGTAGGTTTATGCTTCAGTGTTGTATTTTGACTGTGTCACAGGCTGTGCACTTTACCCAGGACCCTGTAGCTTTGTAACAGATGACTTTTATTTTGTTTCCCTCCTGCAGCAGCAGCCGGGCTGCAGCATGTGGCTGTGGGCTTTGCTTCCTGTCTGCCTGGCTCTCTTTGGCACTTTGGGCATTTGGGCTGTGTGAGTATTTCCCCCCCCCCCCTCCCGTATTAACATTGTCTTGTGGTTTACATAGAGAGGTACCGTTTTCTAAATCTTGTATCATTTCTCAAAACTGAACAGAGAAAGTGTTGAACACTGTTCTGAGGGTTAACAGATTGGTGCCATTATGAGGCAGATCATTAAAAATACAAAACTTTTTCATTTAAATGTGAAAAAAGTGGCAGTAGCTGGGTTCTGGGTGGCAAAACTACACAAACGTGTTCTAATGACAACACAAAACTAAAGCTGCACGTCTTGGTTTTATTTGACCAAAATTTAAAACTACAGTACATTAAGATATCGAGCAATATATGAGTGGGATTTACTTCCAAATTATATTACTCCACAAAATAATGTCAATAGATTCTATCTGAGAAGAAACAGAATGTAAAGTTTCTATGGGCGTGTTGTGTTAAACTCAGATTCAGGACTGTGTTTAAGCAGAACATGTGTTTAGTGTTTGTATGGATGCTAATTATGTTAAATGTCACTGTCTTATTAGTATGTTGTGATTGTTATGCTGGTGTAATGAGAATGTAAATACTTAAGAATAGCTGATGGGGATCTTAATGAACAAACAAACCACCAGCAACACACAGGGAAAGGAAGAGGAAGTCAAAACATGTTAAATTAGCAGCAGTTTGTTGCTCTTTATTTATCTACTGTCACTGTCACACATTAGATTACAGCCTGTAAATTACAGTGCATGTATTTTGTATATGGAGACAGACTGTGTTAATGATTAACCGACAGGCTGTACGATACGTGTCAGGGAACTGTGAGAGGTGCCTTTACCCAGTAAAACAAACTGTTTTATGAACTTGAATATAAAATACACCTAAAAGGAAAATGACGTTTTCTCACTCTGTTCTTTATTCTGTATGTTGTCCAATAAGCCACAGAAGGTTTGAATGACAGCAGACTGAATCTTCTACGTTTTAACAAGCTGTTCACTAGCAGGGACCCGCCCCAGGTACAAATGAAGATACAAGGATATGAAATGTGTGTATATCCTTGGTTGTTTATGCACTTGAGTGTTTTGAGGAAGGTTAAGGAGGAAATTGTGGAGGGGTGTAACAAAAAGTGGAAGCAGAAGTATGGTGGTTTCAATGGATTTAAACAGTGTAACCGGAAGGCACATAGCTCGAGTCAGGCCCTGCTCCTGATCTTCAGATAATTACATGATCTTCATTTAATACAAGCTTGTCGTGTTTCTGCACTGCTGTCAGCTGTGACTGGCTGATCTGACCACACACTGTATGGAACAGTAGCATTAAAACAACATTTTACATCAGTATGCTTTGTACAACAATAAGTGCAAAATGACATGGAGTGATGCTGTAACTATTTTAATTGGAGTATTGGTACTGTTCCTGCATCTTCTTCATGTTTCCTGTTACCAAGTGACACATTACTGTACTGGTAAATGGATAAGGATAAGGATAATCACCTTTATTGGCCAAGTATGTTACACACAAGGAATTTGTTTCCGGTACAGAACTGATGGCAGCCATCTGTGGCGCCACCTCAACCGATGGCTCCAACCATCAGGGGCAACGGGGGACACATGTAGTTGGTAATTAAAAATAGTTTCATTTCACCTGTTATATTCATTTCTCAGGAACAGCAGTGATGTTCCTGGGTTAATTTTACCATTACTAACCATTTCAATCACTATTTAGTGGAATGGTGTTCTTTACCTCTCACAGATTATGGTTCAAATGAGGATAATGCACTTGTTTTCATAAAAAATGCATGTTAAAACTTTTTTTAATGTACATTGGAAAGACCTACATATAAAATACATTATTTACATGACATTGTTTTTTTTCAGTTTTATTTTACATTTTGAAATCTTTTCTTTTTATGAAGTGATGTTGATAAATTAACATGAGACACCTCTTCTGTTCAGGGTCAAACTGACCCAAACAGTATCTTTGTAATATAAACATGTAGGGGGAGGTTGCAAATATGTGAAATGAACCATTTTCATTTTATATGTAGGTTACACCTATTAAGCCAAGCAGAAGACGTTTCATACCAATAAAATACTTTGAACTATTGTTTTTAGATTTTTAGCCTTACAATGCAATGCAACATAACAGGAGGGTTAAGCTAGTCCTTAGCTATTAAATTAAAAATGCATTCACACTTTACTAATGCTATCAGAAACTGTTCAGTGAAATGCGTAATCAATTTGAGGCCAAGTGTAACAGCTTAAACTTAACTTTGGCTTGCTAGCTATTGTTCGACCAGTCCGTAGGTTGGGTATCAAACACATTCACATACTTACTTTTCTTTGTAGTAAGGGATGAGGTTGGATATCGAAGTGTTTGTGTCGCTGACTTTTACGCTGCAGTTGCTTCATCTAAATCATCAACATGTCTCCTGGACCCCATCCCAACCGGGCTGCTCAAAGACCTCTTTCCCCTAATCAACACATCCATACTAGATCTGATTAACCTTTCTCTATGTTCCACAGGCTTTTAATGTTGCAGTAATTAAACCTCTACTCAAAAAGCCTACTCTTGACCCAGGTGTCCTAGCTAATTATAGACCAATATCCAATCTCCTATTTACAGTATTGTTCAAAATAATAGCAGTACAATGTGACTAACCAGAATAATCCAGGTTTTTAGTATATTTTTTATTGCTACATGGCAAACAAGTTACCAGTAGGTGCAGTAGATTCTCAGAAAGCAAACAAGACCCAGCATTCATGATATGCACGCTCTTAAGGCTGTGAAATTGGGCAATTAGTTGAAAGGGGTGTGTTCAAAAAAATAGCAGTGTGGCATTCAATCAGTGAGGTCATCAATTTTGTGAAATAACAGGTGTGAATCAGGTGGCCCCTATTTAAGGATGAAGCCAGCACTTGTTAAACATGCATTTGAAAGCCTGAGGAAAATGGGTCGTTCAAGACATTGTTCAGAAGAACAGCGTACTTTGATTAAAAAGTTGATTGGAGAGGGGAAAACCTATAAAGAGGTGCAAAAAATTATAGGCTGTTCAGCTAAAATGATCTCCAATGCCTGAAAATGGAGAGCAAAACCAGAGAGACGTGGAAGAAAACGGAAAACAACCATCAAAAGGGATCGAAGAATAACCAGAATGGCAAAGGCCCAGCCAATGATCAGCTCCAGGATGATCAAAGACAGTCTGGAGTTACCTGTAAGTACTGTGACAGTTAGAAGACGTCTGTGTGAAGCTAATCTATTTTCAAGAATCCCCCGCAAAGTCCCTCTGTTAAAAAAAAAGGCACGTGCAGAAGAGGTTACAATTTGCCAAAGAACACATCAACTGGCCTAAAGAGAAATGGAGGAACATTTTGTGGACTGATGAGAGTAAAATTGTTCTTTTTGGGTCCAAGGGCCACAGACAGTTTGTGAGACGATTTTAGATTTTGTAAAATTACAATAACATAACAGGAGGGTTAATCAAAATTTAGTTCTTGCTTTTTACCTTGTACTTGCATGTTTTTCTTGTTTTGAATACCCTATAAATGCTCTGTTGTGTATTGTGTATATGCCCTGTAAACGAACATACAGGTGCATCTCAATAAATTAGAATATCGTGGAAAAGTCCATTTATTTCAGTAATTCAACTCAAATAGTGAAACTCGTGTATTATATAAATTCAGTACACACAGACTGAAGTAGTTTACGTCGTTGGGTCTTTTAATTGTGCTCACATTTAACAAAAACCCACAAATTCACTATCTTTGAAATAAATGGACTTTTCCACGATATTCTAATTTACCGAGATGCACCTGTACTGTAATATGCGGCCTGGAATTGAAAGCATCACCCTTTATGTAGTTTGACAGTAAGTAGCATGAACATGTGATAGTTTACAGTGAAACCAGATTGACAGCATAAAGTAAATAAAGTTGGCAAGTACAACAGTAGAACAAAATGCAGTTCAGTAATAAGATGATATTAATGCCATATGACAAAAGAAACCGCATGTTCCTGATGTGAAGAAGTTGTTTTAATGGTTGTCTTCTGCTTTTGCTCTGATGAATAATCAGTTATACATCATCTTAAACATTTCCAAACAGACTTAAGAACAACTTATAAGCAAACAATAGATTAATTAACCAGTGGTGTATTTGGGGTGTGTGCGCCACTGAACGTTTTCTCTCCCATGCATTCAGTCATAATGCAACAGTCACTTTCCTTTTAGGTTCGCTGTAGCCGTAGCAAATGGAACAGTCAACCTCACAGAGGGAGTCCCTTACATCAGGTCGGTAGCACTGACAGCCTGCTGTTGGCCTTCCCTCATAAATATGTCAAATTCCTGTTCAATAAGTAGCAAGTCACTATTGATTGCTAATGATTTTCTCATTCTCTTGTTAGTAAATGCGGCACCTACCCTCCTCAGAGCTGCCTCTTCTCTCAGGTCTGCAACATCTGCTCCGTTTTAGGTAATGGCAGATACATGTATGCACTTTCTGGCATTCACTGATGTTCCCGTGTGCCTAGGTACCGTATGCTTTAGCGGTGTGTTTCTGAAGTCCAGGGTGTTTGGTCTTTTTTTCTAATGCCTCTCCACCGGCAGCCGGAGACATTTTCTGTTTGTCCGTGCGTCTGTCAGATTCTTGCCAATGTAATATCTCAGGAAGGTCTTGAGGGAATTTCTCCAAATTTGACACAAATGTCCAAGTGGAGTCAAAGATCAGAATTTGGTGGTCAGAGGTCAGTGACCTCATGTTTGTCCCATACCCGTGAATTTGACTGGTTGTTGGAGGCAGAAGAAGAAATTGTTTTTGCTGAGAAGTATGCACGCAGCAGTCCCCAGATGTGTATTTGTTGAGCTGCCAGCTTGTGTTTTCTGACAAGTTGCACGTTGGTTCAAATATATTTCTTATTAGTAAAACATTGATGCCTGTTTGTGAACTTGTGATGGTGTTTGATCCTAGAGGAGTCGGTGATCACCACAACCAAACCATCGCACAGGTTCCATCATATAGATGCCTTGGTGTCTTGACTGACAAGTTACGAACAGGGAGCATACCTGTGTGCGGTCTTTGCAGTAGGTTACAACAACGGTTGCATTTTTACGACATCTGGGAGTTCATGGTTTAGATAAAAAAAATGTATGATCACTTTCTTTCAGGCCTCACCGAACTCTTCCCAGACCCGAGTTTTTGCCTCCGCAACCGCCTGGGCTGCAGCCCGCTTGGCCTGCCGGCACCCGTCAGCTGCCTCAGGTGTCCCAAAGCCAACCAGGCTCAAAAGGACCCCTTCCTCAGCTTGATGGCATCCCTTACTTCTGGTGTCCACCACCGGGTTTGGGGATTGCCACTACAACAAGCACCGGAGACATTACGGCCACAGCTTCGAACCGCCGCATCGACAATGGAGGTGGAGAATATGGTCCACTCGGACTCAATATCTCCAGCCTCCCCCGGGATCTGGTCAAAGCTCTGTCGGAGGCAGGAGTTGAAGATCTCTTTGACAGGGGATTCTGCTAAACGTTCCCAACAGACCCTCACAATACGTTTGGGTCTGCCGAGTCTGTCCAGCTTCCTTCCTCGCTATCGGATCCAGCTCACCACCAGGTGGTGATCAGCTGACAGCTCCACCCCTCTCTTCACCTGAGTGTCGAAGACATACGGCCGGAGGTCAGATGAAACAACCACAAAGTCAATCATCGACCTCTGGCCTAGGGTGTCCTGGTGCCATGTGCACTGAT